AAACTCAACTTGCGAAAGTTAGGCCACCATGTTGGAATGACCTAAAAACACACCAGTTGCATATAAGGCCATTTCTAGGGCAAAAAATACCGTGGCCTAGAAAAATCATGTTTTGAGAAAGTTAGGCCATCATGCTAAGAGTGTTTAAAAATGGTCTGATACAGCCCAGGTGAATTTAAGAACATTTTACGTCGTTTGGGCATGGTGGCCTAACTTTTGCAAGAATGGTTTTTCTGGGGCACAGACTTCAATGACCGAGGAGATGGCATAAGTAGCATGTAGGTGGTGTGTCTAGGTCATTTTACCGTAGTGGCCTAGAAAACGGTACCTGTAAAAGTTAGGCCACCGTGCTAAAATGACCTAGAAATCATACCAGGTCAATATCAGGTCATTTCCAGGTCATTTGAACATGTTGGCCTAGAAAACCCGAATTTGCAAAAGTTCGGCCACTATGTTAATATGGCCTAGGAAACACACAAGGTTCATTTTAAGCCATTTTACGGTTATTTTAACATTGTGGCCTAACTTTTGCAATCAGATTTTTCGAGTCCACCATGCTAAACAGCTTGAAAATAGCCTCATATTCATTTGATGCATTTTCTAGGTCACTTTAACATGGTGGCCTAGAAAACCCAACTTGCAAAAGCTAGGCCATCATACCCAAAATCTTCTAAAAATCAATAAATCGATATCATTCTTCCAGATTTCTCTAACAGCTATCAACCAAGAAGGGCACCGTCAATCCACGCCCCTTCTCTCATACGAAGGACATTCTAGAGACGTCAAATGTATGACGGCGACGTCGGAATTCCTATTAACAGGAGGAGACGATGGAAAAGTCGTAGTTCAAATTGCCAATTTTAAGTGAGGGAGATGTTCAGATTTTTTAGCCGAAAATCGATAAAAAATTCAGCTGAAATTGGAATTTTCAAAATTTTCAAAAATTCCAAAAAACATTTTTTTTTTCGAAATTTCAAGATTTCCAGAAATCCAAAATTCGGCTCCGATGCCCTACCAAATCACCATCCATTAATCCTGAATCGTGCAAAATTGGCGGAAATTGAGGATTATGGAAATCCAACGTCTTCAGAAGCTTCAGAAGACGTCGTTCGCGATTCAGAAGCACCTTCATCATCAGAATCGTCAAAAAAGACGTCCTCTTCATCATCCCTTTTGGCTTCAGAATCTCCAAAACCCGAAAAATCAAAATTCGAAAATTCTGAAGATTCTACGTCTTCTGAATCGGCAAATCCCTTAAAAATGTGTTCAGAAGGCAAAATCAAAAAGAGAAAAGACGAGAGAGGAGGAGACGCAGAGAAAAAGGAGGATGAGGAGGCGGTGGAATCGAAAAAGCCAAAAATCGAGGAGAATTAATTTTTTTGATTTTTCAGTGTTTTTTTGTTGTTGTCAATTTTGTTAATTTAGATTTTTAAAATTGGTTTTTTCAAAAATGTTTTTGTTAATTTTCAAAATTTTAAAGGATTTTTGAGGACTTTTTTTAGCTTCAATTTCAAATTTAAGCTTCCAAAAAGTGATTTTTTCAAAATTCCTTCAACAATAACTTCAAATTTCAGTTCAAAAACGATAAACAAAAAAAAACGACAAAATTGGGTAACAATGTGTGTAAAAATCAACAAAACAAAACAACTTAAAAATTCAAAAATCCTCAACAACTTGTTCAAAAAATTAAAGAAGTGCATTTTTGATCCACTGAACGACGGCCATGTTCTCCACAAAAAGGTCCTCCAGCTCGTTCCAATTCTCCTTTTCGTACTTATAAAATTCCTCCAAAACCTCTGTGAGCTCCTCGTCTTCTGGCGATGCCACGTCATTACCATTCTTGGTGCTCCAGACGATGGAACGGTGGGTTTTGAGAGCGGTGACAGCGTAGGATTGGACAAGTTCGAAGTTTTTCTTGGTTTTCAGGACCTGAAATTTAGGATTTTCTTGAGAAAAAGGGGGCGGAGCCTAAATCTATTTTTTAATTCTATAAAAATAATAAAAATGGCTATTTAGTATCGATTTTTGGGTGCAATTTTTTGTAGTTTGTAGTCTATGTAGTCTATTTTTGTAGTCTGTGTTGTCCAACTACCCTAACTTTTATAGTTTGTAGCTAATTTCTCCCTACTCACCTCCAACAACATTCTGAAGAAGATCGGCAACGTCTTCGGATTCAGCGAGCGAATCTGAAAATCGATTCCCGACAAATTCATCTGGCGAAGGATATCGAACGCAGCGAGCAGGTCCTGTTTCGTGTTGGCGCTGAAAAATGATGGAAAATTAAGCTGAGTAATGGAAATTAGTGGGGGTTTCTAGATTATGAACTATGGTGGCCTAACTTTTGCAAGTTGTGTTTTCTAGGCCACATCCGGAAATTGGCTAGAAAAACTTCCAGGGCGATTTTTATGCCCAAAAAAGTTGGTGACCTAGAAAACCTCAACTTGCGAAAATTCGGCCATCTAGTATTTTGTTTTGGCACTGAAAAATGATGGGAAATTAAGCTGAGCAATGGGAAATATGATAGAAATTTTGAAAATCAAAATTATGAGCAATTTGGAAACCAAAAAATCGAAAAGTTTCAGTTTTAAACATCGAAAATTTGTGTTTTCTCGGTCAGTTTGACATGATGGCCTAACTTTTGCAAGTTGCGATTTCTAGGCCTTTTCAACATAGTGGCCTAACTTTTCGAAGTTGAGTTTTCTAGGCCACCATGTTTAAATGGGCTAAAAAACACCCAAAGGACCGTTCCTAGGCCATAAACTCTAGTGACCTAACTTTTGCAAGTTGAGTTTCTAGGCCATCACTTTAGAACGACCTGAAAGCGCACCAGGAGCATGTTAGGGAATTTCTAGGTCATTTGAGCCTTG